AATGACACCTGGTTAATTCCTTCCCACACTGGCTATTCCTACAAGTCTTGAGTCTCCTGGGGAGGTTGTTTTATTTTTCCCTGGAATTCCCAAGTGGCCTACAGCTCATGGGATGGAAATCCTTTACCTAACTGCAGAATATTTATCTGCACACCGCGATTCCCAAGCGGCAGCTGCCTCCTGCCCTTGCCAAAGCCATTATAACATTACACTGTACCAGTTAGCTTGACCAACGGCTTCTTCACAGCGCCACGACAGAAGTCAGCGAGTTTGCCTGTCGGGCACCCACCACTCACCGCTGATCCCCAAAGCCTGACTTTGCTGCATTAGAAACTCCCGGTTACGTGGGCTGGGTCCCGAGCCTCCCTCACCCTGCAAACATCCCGATCCTACACAGGAAAGCGTTTTCTTGCTCTTATCCCCTGTATCTTGCACGCCTACAATACAGAGTTAGGGTGGTAGGTACCTCATCGCTGCTCCATCGGTTGGGGAAGGACGGGCGAAGGCGCTTGATGCAGACGATCTCCCGCATGTCCTCGTACGAGGGGTCGGTGGGCACGAGGTCGTGGTAGGGCAGCTGGTATTCCTCCACTATTCCTGGTGAAAAGGAACAGCAGCAGGTGCCTGTCATGCACGCAAGAAAGGCCCCACCACCCTCTTCCCTCGCGCAAGAGGTTTCTCCACATGTGTTTGGAGCAACAAAAGCGCTCGCTCAGGGGGCAGCAGGGACTGGAAACTGAGCTCCTCAGCTGCATTTGCTGACACAACTCAAAGCCGGGACATCGCTACCAGAGAGAGAGTGTCTGCGACTCACCTCCCGACACGCATCTCCTCGCTATCTCCCAGAGGATGAGCCCGAAGCTGTACATGTCGGCCATGATGTACGACTGGAAGTGGTTTCTGTTCAAGCTCTCGTCCAGCACCTCGGGGGGCATGTAGCGCTTCGTCCCGACACGCGTGTTGGGAGGAATGTCGACCTCGTTGGTGTCACTGGAAGACAAAAAAATGAAGTAACAAAATGCAGAAGAGGCACCAGGCATGCAATAAAGCAGCTCCAAAGGAAAGCAGCTTGGATGGGAGCACTGGCAGATTCAGCCCCCATCCAGGCTGGAGCGAGGTCCCAAGCAAGGCATGACTTTATTGAAGGGCTCCTGTAGGGAA